CTTAGTATTATTAGCCACTGAGTTTTTGAGTGGTTCCTTACAAATGATTATTGTGTACAATCAGACTAATACAATATTTACACATCTGCATGTAGAGACAGACAATTTCACTAAAACTTATTTTAAGTATTAAAATAATACTTAGGGGTCCATTTATTAGGAGGCACAAAAACATAAAAAAATGTTTTAATACTTGAATAAAAAGAATAAAATTTACATCATTAATGAGAACATCTAAGATTATCCATGTATAGCAGTAATTACAGTAATAATGATAATTTTATACATCATATGGACTTCTTGAAAATGATTACCTAAAAATTTCATCAATACACTTATACATCTGCATATGTATATATTTGATACATACATGTGGATATATACTTTTTGATGATTAATGTAATTACTTTATGGGTTAAATGGGTTAATATGACTGCAGTTACTACCCATTAAAAATTGGTGTCCAGGACCATATATAGTACCTTATCTGCCTCGAGGCATTTTCTTTATAACCTTTGTTTGTAAATCACCCAGCAACTTCTGTCCTCACTTGAAAATATATTTTAAGTGGAAGTCCAAAGGTATAAATGGATATATTTTTCCTACTGCAAAAAATTGTATTCTTACAGCCTATAGAAGCCCTCCATCTGTATGTCCACAATCATGCTATGAGTTCCAGATATGAGATATTACTTACCTGATTTTTAAAAATTTATGGTGAAATCTACTTGAGATCTGACATAGGTCATAGGTCTTGTGATTTATAGAGAAAATAAGTAAATGGAACTGTTAATAAACAAGCACAGAATAGACTGAAAGGCTGAAAAATTAATTCATGGGCAATACCACTGATCTTCAAATATTATGTAAAGGATACCATCAGTCTTCTCTTGAGGGAAGTATATCAGAATCTCATGGAAGGGCAAGTATGAAGTTTGATCAGATTTACTTAATAGTATACTTTAAGGTCTCTCTAGCATTTGTTTAGCAAGAGTTGCAATGTCTCTAAAATATTGACTGAGTGGTTACTCTGGCCTTTTTTGCTAATCAGAGGACAAAATTTCATTTAGAAATACATACTCAATATGTTAAAAATTTTAGACTTCTTTTTAGGTAAAATTTTCTCATATTTGATAGATAATTGATACTGAAGAACTTGGAGAAAATGGGAACAAATTAACAGGTTGTTATTTAGCCAAAACTGACCAAGAGTGAAACAAGTCAACCTATGTCCTAATGAATTTTAACACAGAGCCACACTGCATGAACCATTAGGATATAGATTCCTCCATCTCTTCATTTTCCAGGTAAAGAAGAGACATAGAAACTTAGAAAAAATTTTACCAAGTATGAAATATTCACTAGTCAGATACCTGGGAATGAAAAACAAACAAACAAACAAACAAACAAACAAACAAACAAACTGAGAGCTTTAAGTTGCAGATTATTTCAGGTGTTTCCTTATGTTTATAAATTATTTCTGGAGCTGGGAAAAATTTGTGCTTGAGATTTGTTAGAGAATTACACTAGACTGATGTCACATCACTTATATACCCAAGGGTGCTTTGGAATATAAGGGTGCACAGCAGTATGTAAAATTCAAGGGTTATATCTGATGATCACTTTGGAAGGAGATAACTAATTCAATGATATAGCCTTCTGGGTTTACCAAATTACCAGACTTAGAAGAAGTAAGGCTAAAAGGCTGGACACAGTTTTTTGGGGGAGCACTATAATTGGAGCTTTCAAAAAGGGACAAGATTGAAAACAATGGCTTCCCAAGCGAATGTTAATCTAAGGGCTATTGCTGAGCAGAAGGTTCTCAATAATTGGATGACACATAAGTGTCAGACAGTTACTGCTATGGTCTGATTGTTTGTGTCCAACCTCCCCCTTTATCACCTGCCCCACCACCCAATTCATAAGTTGAAATCCTAAACCATAATGTGATTTTACTAAAAGGTAAGAGGTTATGTATTTGATTAGGTCATGAAGGTGGATCACTGGTGAATGGGATCAGTGCCTTATAAAAGAGACCCCACAGAGCTCCCTGGCTGCTTCTACCATGTGAGGACACAGCCAGAAAACTGTCTGTGAACCAGAATGTGAGCCATCAGCAGACACCAAATCTGCCAGCAACTTGAGCTTGGGATCCACAGCCTCTAGAATTGTGAGAAATATATTTCTGTTGTTTACACATATATAAAAAAATATACAAAAAATACCCAGTATAAGGTATTTTTGTTATAGCAGCCCAAACATGCTAAGAAAGTCACTTTTCCAAGCTTTCCCTGTGAGTCAAATGAACAAACGTCATGACATTAGCAATGACAGTTCATGCAGAGCCCAGGGGTATGGATGTCATCTAACTGAGGCTGATGAGGTAACTTGCATGTGTTCGGTGATTGAGTCAGTTGGATATGAGAGAAGATATGATGACTGATTTCAGCAGATAGGTGTTTATTATCATGGATTAGGAAGATTAAAAATGGAGAGAAAGGCCACATGAACAGGCTCTGGCAACTCAAAGTTCTAATCCCTCAAATACATTAGTGTTTTCTGTGATTAGAAAAGCTATTGCCATGACAACAGCAATCTAGAGATTCAGAAAGCTGTGTCCACCAGAACGTGTTGCCTGGCCACGACCCACTTCAGCAAACTGAGCACCTGTGGTCATGCATGTACCCCCACCTCCCTCACTCTGTTCTGAAAACCACTCATCAGGAATGCATTTGATGGGCAGAGTCTTAATCACATCTCCGATCAAGACTTTCAAGGCAATGTGGTTTAGCCTTTTCAGAACCTCAAACACAGAAAAACCTGAAGAAACACAAAGGATGAAAACTACAAGGAAGCTGCTTCACAATAATTGAATGAGTCATGAATACATTTATGTATGTTAAATAATTTTCNACATCATTAAGAGTACGGATGTTTGTTTTCATGTTTCCATTCTCAGGAGCCAGATGTGATATCCAGATGACCCAGTCTCCATCCTCTCTGTCTGCATCAGTGGGAGACAGAGTCACCATCACTTGCCGGGCCAGTCAGAGCATTAGCAATTACTTAGCTTGGTATCAGCAGAAATCAGGGGCAGCTCCTAAGCTGCTGATCTATGATGCATCCAATTTGCAAACTGGTGTCCCTTCAAGGTTCAGTGGCCAAGGATCTGGGACAGATTTCACTCTTACCATCAGCAGCTTGCAGCCTGAAGATTTTGCAACTTATTACTGTCAACAGCGTAACAGCTGGCCTCTCACAGTGTTATAAGCCTGAACACAAACCACGAAGCAGACAGCTGAGAGTCGGCTGCCCCAGTTATTCCTCTTGCGTCTCCATCGGCTGAGAGCATTTCTCAGATGCACCCACTCTTTGATGGTGACTGGAGGTTTTGGTAGAAGTGGCCAGGGATGGTTCTCTGCACCCTAACTCTCTTTGACTCTACTCAGCCTCGATTCACATACAATGCATCTCCTAATTTCATAAGGAACAGAGATCATCACACCTGAGCTTTCTGGGTTACAGTATCAGTCAGAATTCATAAAGTAAAAGAAAACCACTCTGGGAATTCCAAACAGAAATTGCTTAGTATATAGAATGACTTACTAAAGTACATTGTTTCAAAGGCCTAGGGAAGTAACAACAAAGGAAGCAAAGAGTGGCAATGTGGGATTCCCTGGTGATTCCCCAGAGACCAGAGAAAATACCCTGTTGGAGACAGAGGCTGTCTACCATGTGGTCCCCAGACCTGTGGGGGAAGCCCAGGAGTGATGCTCTCAGCTCACCAGTGATTCTCCAGTCCTCCACTCTGCCTGCAGAAAATGATGGAGAGTATTGAACTCTTGTCCTTGGACTCCCAAATGTCAGGGAGGGCCCCTCACTGAGCAATTATATGCTAAACCATAGAGGGCAAAGGGGTTCTGAGATGTGTGCTTCCACTTGGGAGCGCGATGATGGGGAACTGACAGCAGACAGGCTAGGTGGTCATTCTCTTTACATCTCTCAAAATTTTGCCAGTTACAATAAACTTGGATGTGCTTCCAACCATCATCATCAAGCCTGGATTCATACAGGAAATGTTTTTTAAGTATTTAAGAAAATCGAAAAATGAGGGAACCTTTTTACATACATAGATATAATTTGACAAAAAATGGAAGCTTTTTTTGATTAAAAAATAAAAAATTAAGTGTGTATGGAGCTTTTTTTCTCTTCTACATGAAAATGTCTTGCTGTTCAAAATTTTCCCAAGAACCAGAGCATCACTGACATCCCCTGGGAGCTTATTATAAATGCAAAACAGCAGGTTTCACCTTACAACTTCTTTTGAGGATCTTCATTTTAACAAGGCTTCACTTGTGTGTATAAGGTTTAAGATGCTGTGTTGTAGAGGACATTTATTTCATTGAAATGGGCTTTTGCCCCCATTTCCTTTCCAGAAATTCTATTTAGATGTAGATGTTGAAAACACATTCCCCTGTATTTTCTAATTACTACAAAAATAAATCATAAGCACACTTTAATTTTTTAGTTATTGAAA